CTTCCAGCGGGGATAAATTTATGTTTGGCTGTATCAGAGGGCCTATCATCGAATCACTGCCAACGTCGGTCATACAGCACACTGACACCAGGAAACCTCACCTCTGCACCTTTCGACACATCCCAAGATTACTTTGCCCGTACTCGACTACTTCACGGTTTCACTCATGGAGACACAGCCATGGTTTCCACGTCGGTGAAGGCAGCCGCTTCAAAATCGATTCTGACACCATCAATGACTGTGAAGGGTCATGAAAAACGGATTCAATCCATATCCTATTTTCCGGATGGCCAGCGAATGATCAACGGATCTCAGGATAAGACCGCCTGGCACTGGGATCTGAATGTGGGCAAGGAGATCGAGGAGGTGCGAGGTGTTTGTGAGGAGAACGTGGATGCAGTGGCAGTATCAAGAGATGGTCGATGGGTTGTCACTGCTGATGGAGATTGGAGTAGCGGGGAGCTGAAAGTCTGTGAGGTTGAGACAGGAATTGTGAAAACACTTAAATGTTACTCGCAGTACATCACCTGCATTGATATCTCTGCGGACACCACACTACTGGCGAGCTGTGATTACAGAACACGGATATGGAACCTGGACAGTGGCAAGCTCGTGACTGGTCCGTTCGGGGGTGTTGGTTGGGTGGGCGCAATTTGATTCTCCAAAGATTCAAAGAAGCTCGCACTGAAGTCATTTGGAAATTTTTATTGCCTCGAGGTGTCCAATCACAGAAATTACATGTGAGGGTTGGGAAATATGGTAGAGACCCTCAATCGCCGCCGGTGTTCTGGACAAACAATAACAAAATCATCATAACCGCATTCACCTTCACCACAGATGTGACTATGCCACGACGGATCTACCAGTTCGACGCATCGACGCTGGAGACTGTCGGGTTCCATTTGAAGGGCACACTAAGACACCATCAAGCCCTGGGCTTTCGAACTCTCGAGCCCCGCCAGCTCCTCGCTTCCTTCGACATTCAGAATGTTCTTGCACTTACCTTCTCACCCAATTCACCTCAACTAGCTTACACGATAGACACCAAAAATAACCACAAGATCCGCATCTGCGACACTCCACCTGATGTCCTTGCTCAGGCCCGTGTACGCATTCCCTGCAAATATCCACTAGGTTTGTGTGCTGACATTCCCTTACAGATTATTGCACGCAAAATTCAACCCTTGATGATCTACTAAAGGTCCGCATCTTGTCTTTTACTCATTACACCACTCGCCCATCGCTATCATTGTAGTCCCATGCACATCTGCCTAAAAGAGACCCTCAGCAAGCCTCTTTCCTTCGCCTCAGCAAACTTCTTCGCTTTTCCCCTTGCACGAATATGCTATGGCCTTGTCGGAAGGATCAACCTCGTGGTCCCCTAGATGTGAGTCTCTTTGTCTTGTTTCTTTCACAGTTCACTCAACACTCGCACTGCAGTTCCCTGCTACATCGCCCTTACCTCTAATCGCCTTCATGGAGAAAGCTCTCCATCGACTCCCCTGCCCGGTGGTAGGGTCTTTTTTAATTCCATCCGGTCGTCGTTAGACAAAGGGAAACAAAAGGCGGTGAACCAAACGAAAACTATAAAAGTTTGCAATGTTCCACTCGGACAAGCTACCTACGTTTGTTTTCTACAATTCTGTTGGGTTCGTGTGGTCTGACTGCGTTATTTTCTAGGCCGACGTTATCAGTGTGGACGACGGGACACGACCATGCGTTCTCTTCTTTTGCCTCAGCTGGTTCCAGAAAAAGGAGAAGAAGCAAGATCCACCGCCAGTCTATGATGACGAACTAGAGGACGACAAAGAGGAATAAACATTTATTGATCCAGTCGCCGTGCCTCCTCCTGGGTACACTGAACCTATTCGTTCATAAAATTCATCACTAATGCAGTCTTTTAGGGTCCAGCACGAAGAAATTGAATTGAAAACTTTGGCTAGTCAGTCACAGCCAGTAGCACCCTCTCGCCTTGTGGTAACTAACCACTTAGATGCGCAGTGATCGCCAATATGACATCCGTTGAGCATCTGTTGAGTTTCACATTTTATCTGCAACTTTATGACTGCCATTTGTAGAACGGCTTGTTTTGGAAGAATAAACATGATCGCATCCTCACTAATGTGCATTGACGGGCAAGGCGATCTCTGTGTTGTCTCTGTACAATGTTCATGCGTCTGCTGGTGTCCGAATGGAACTACAACAAAGAAATGTGGATGCTAAAGGTTGAAGTTATAGCATATGATCAAACATTTCAGGCCATCCTGATACGCCACTCACAAGCACACTGTAACAACAGTGGCGGGTGGGAAACAGAAATGCAATCTCCATATGGATCAGGCTGTGATGATTGATGCATCCACATCCGATCAAGCGCACGCTACAAATTAAGATTAAGTGCGATGTGTCTTATATCAGATTCCGTACTTGCCATTCTTATGATACAATAGGCCGATGATCGGGGTGGGGGGCGAGAAGGTTTGAATATGCTTAAGACGCGGATTATTCATTGAAAGAGTTATACAAGTGAGTGATCTGTCTGCTTCTCTGTCATGTCGACATATAAGTTTCCCTTGTTGAATACCCTCAGAGGCCCTGCTATGTTCGGGGAAACCGCCAATGCTAATCGAGAATCATCGAGACAGCTGCCAAGCTTTTTCGAAGGCTCGCATCACGCCTAGGCCATTTTTAGACCAAGTTTTGCATCGGTTTTCATTTGAATATGCGTCGAAGGGTGGGTATTGGCAGCTGCCAGTGTATGGCACGGGTGAGCTACTCTCTCAAGTCGTTTTATTCTGATGGCGTGCCAACAGCATTCAGTCCTTCTTATACAATCAAGAGCCCTGGGGTATGGACGCTGTCGAGGCTCGTCAATCAAGTTTTACGAGATCAGCCTGTACAGTTTGATGAACAACGAATGCAGCCATAGCAGCACGTCCGGATCTTCTTTTCTCCGTGTCTTCTCAGCGCTGTCTGGATCTAGGGATGACGTTTTATCTCCACTATATATCAATCAGGGATTCTCAACTAGGCTACAATCTCTGGCTGCGCAAACTGACGTCCTGCCAGCACCGCAGTAACTTCATGATGCAGATCGAAGATTCTGCACTCATAATTGTTGGAAACCTTATTATACGAAAGCCTGATAACTGAGGCAGAGAGCAATAAGGTGCTCATGAAGTGATAGATCGCCCGATGGCGAGGGGCAGGGATAGTAGACATTGAGGTATTGGCTGAACGTGAGTTACCTGTTTGCTTTGTGCGTATCTCCCCTACTTTTGGCGGTTTATTCTTTGTCTGTCATTGGCATACCGACACAATTTGCCTTCCATCTTTTACGGTATTCAAGTATTCCTCCGCATCACCACCAACATTTACGTTGAGCCCTGGAATGATTTTACTTTTGGTCAATCAAAGCAGCCACAGACATCATCCCTCGATCTCATTTTGGTGTTCCAAGCACTGGGTGGCGGTATATATGCTATCGCCATACGTCTACCAAGTTCACTACTCACCCACATCCCCATTCTCTACCAATATGACCATAGTCCCAAATGATCCCATTCGGTGACCGACCATTAATGCATATCGTTTTCCAGTTACTTTATAGGTTCGTGGAAAGGCAGTCGGATACTTGAAGTTGATGTCTCTATCTAACCTTCACTGCGGTTTCGCAGTTGCCGCCTTTGTTGGAGTAACGTATGATTGGGGTGAGCATGATAATATTAAAGGACTGCTGACATATTCAGCACTTACGTTTGGACAAGAGGTATGTTGATACTACGACCAGAGCAGCGATGTCGCTAAGAATGGTTTTATAGGTCGAACTGATCTGGGTGAGCAGAGTCTCATGTCAGAGGAATACACCTGAAATTATACTTAATTTCAGAGGCAACGCTGGTCCATAATGACAGTTCTGTATCTCAGTGTATGTAGGTTGCCTGGGGGGTACACTCAATTTTAAATGACAAAAAATATACATGGGGCTCATTGAAGAATACCAGAGGAACTCATCCTCTCCGGCACCTATCAGTGCTCGTTTGGCTACCTGGAAGATACACTATTTATGAGTTCCATTGCTTGGATACTCGCCACTGTGTGGGAGGTTCTCGCACTGTGTCTCGCAATCTAGATTGCGGTAAAACACTTCCATGAACTGCGACAATATTCGGTAGGAGGGACTATTGGGGACTGCTTCACGGTGTTGATCAAAACTCACATGCTTTACCTCGCGAGGTGAGCTCATGCTGTGATTATTGTTCCCTTTTTCCACTGAAGGGTTGGACGTGGTAGCTTCGTTGCTGTTTCTTGCTTCCAGCGCATTATTAATTTCTCTCCGACACTCTCAACAGTATGCCAGTCTTTCACTTATCTCTGCATGCCACCACGGTTCACCATTTCTATAGGATTTCCCGGCCAGTCAGATTTGTGGTGGATTTGTTCAGATTTTGACGGTCGTGCAGTCGTTTGTGCTGGGACCACGCCTGATCCTTGGTGTTAGAGAATGTCATGCTAAGCTCGTGGCCGACTCCGATGCAGCAACTGGTATGACCTCAATCGCTTTCCAGGAGCGCGTGCATATATCGACTGGCAGTGACGTGTAATGCTCGGTGGAGTTAACGGTTGACCAGTGCCCCGCAAGGAGCAGGGGAATTTACTTTTATTTATTCGCACTTTCGTGATGGTATTGATCTAAGTTTTGAAGTAGATTTCAGTAAGACATAGATCTGTATGATGTTTTCGTCGTGGTATGTAGTTAGGTGATTTACTATACGTCCTGACAATATTTAAACCGATATCCTGGATATCTCTACTAGCACCAGTTGCTCACCCACACTTGCACCAACCGCTGGTCCTTCGCGGACACATCAAAATAACGCGTCCTATACGTTGCTTGCAACACGATCGCTGCTAGTGGGAGGATTGCGAGTAGGTAAGATTTATAGATGCATACCTAGAGAGCAGAACAGTGATATACGACACCTGTTTCACAGGACGTGTTGGACGACCTGCTTGCGCTGGCAGCAGGGGACGATCGATCTTCATGAGTAACTACCGATATTGTACAGTTTGTACCAAGCTGATAAATATAACTACCTGATAACAGATGAGTTCTGTTTTAGACGTCGATGACCTCAAGCCTGCTAGACTGCGATGTAAGATACTGAAGAGAACCTACCGCATCACAGTCCCAATTTGCGTTGAACAAATAAATCCTATCCTTATCGAGCCATATGCCCTCTAACTCGCGAACATTGAACTTCCTGTCCGATATGACCTCGACGTAAGGCAGGGATGTTGTAATTTTCAAGTTCTCCTCGGAGTCGGACGTTAAGACGGTCACTTGGATCGTAGATGGCTCTTTCACCACTCGCCCTAGGCCTTGCCTGTTTGGCACAGCTAGTGGGCTGAAGTCCATCATATGCACGTCGTACTCCGTGGGACACGTGTCTGGCGCGCCGACTGTGAATGCCTGCAAAACTCGATTTCCGCTCACGTGAACTTTGCATAGATATGGGTACCGGAAAACACGAGTATTTGAAGGGCCCCAAAAATCCCATGGTATTGGCGTCGTCGCAACAATTCCGTCAAGGTCAAAGAAAATCCTCGTGGAAATGATGAAGACTAGAGTAGTGGGATAGGATGAGGTAAAGCATAGTAGTCGATGTGTAGGATCTGAGGTGTGCATCGTTTGTTGAGTTTGCATCTGCAGCTGAGAGCTACTATGCTCAATATCATCCACCGGAAGATGGCACTGTACATCCGACAATGGAAGGGGCGCCTGGAAACACGCCAGAAATTGTGGCGTCTGGGACACATCCTCGATTGAATAAAGCTTCAAATAGTCGGTGACAACAAGTAACCTATTGTTTCCGAGGAAACAAAAATCGATCGAGTCTTCGAATGGGTATGGTACTGTGTCGCTGAGGACACTCTAAATTTTAAGGATCAACTGTCAGGTAATTCAACGATTTCGGATCAAAGCTTACGCTCGATATCGTCGAGTTTTTCCAGTCCCAAATCTGCAGGTGGCAGACAGACTCAGGGCGATCCCCTGTTCCATCCACCACCAAAGTGCGCTGCAAAGCGATATGCCTTCCACAACCTTTGAGCTTCGCACACATTGTTTCAATGCGGTCAACGTTGTCGTCGTATCCGGCCGGGCCCGATACAATTAGGGTTCGTCCAGCGGCTTCGGGGTGAACACTATCACCGTCCAGAGTTCTAAGGTCAATAGAGACCATTTCATTCGATTCGAGAGGATCATCCTCGTCAGGAACAGAATATACGATGGCGATCAGGTTTTGTGCTGGGTCCATCAATACATCCAGGGTGGTTGAGTAGGGCACCAAACATAAGGTTCCTGCAGACCAGTAACGTTCGATTGTTCGTTGTGAGGGCTTCGGTAGTATTGGAATGATCGTAGCCAGGTCTCCACCTTCATCCCTCAAGTAGAGATGCCCATCAGTGACGAGCTTTTTCTTAGCATACAAGTCTTCTGGTAAGCTGATTGTTTTGAAAGAGTGCATATCAAACTTGAACCATGCGTGGGCCCTGTCCCTCAAGGTCTGTAGGCGGTTGGAAGTAGGGGTGCGGTTGCCCGTGTTGGGGACAGCGAGCAACCGTTGGCCACTGAGTTCGATGATGTACTGAAGCTCAGAGGAGGACATGTACGTCTGGCGAAGAGCCTTACATACCTGCAAGAGCATTATCAGCATATAAGTTCATGTAGGTCGACACGATCATAAATTGATCTTGTGACTCACAGATGTACAACGAAGAATATCTCGGCAAGGAAGGAAGGTCAGAATGTAGAAATGGAGTTCTTCAGCAAGAGACAAGAGCCCTGCTTCGGGTTTCATTTCGTGGTCAACACTCTTCACAAGTAGCAGAGTAAGACTCAACTGTATACGTGCACGTGGCAGCTTGCAAGCTTTAATGAAATCAGTGTACCACTGTACCAGCGCTCGCGCTGATGACCGCCGGCCTCCGAGCTTGATGGGTGATTCGGAACTAGTAGTCAAATAAAGGAAGATAAACATTCCGCAAAATTGTTAACTCTGCGCTTTGACTCACGGTGCAGAAGCTTCTTCAAGTTCGTGCAGCCTATTACGCCCTCCCAAGCTTAAGCACTTAAGCTTGACTGACCAGGGTAGCTATTTTGACGCGGTCCTGCTGTGCCCGACGCGGTCGTCACGCGGCTGTGACGCGGCATTCATGCGGCGCTGACCCAGTGACTACTAAAGTGTTTAACACAACTTGCATGTGTCCTCAGGCTAATAGGCTACTATAGCGAACAAAATCTCCCGCGTATTATTCGTTCTGTCTTGCTATCATGATGCATGGGCGGCAAAGCCACGAGTTAATTGATGAGTCAACAAGTCCTCACCGCAGCCTCATGTCCTTCAGTGAACTTCCATACCTTTGAAATTTATAAATCTCAAGCAGCTTTATAGTCTTCATCAGAGTTGTTTCGTTTCACAGCACATCGCCGCCGAACAGACTCACTACCCATTGCACTGCCCCAAAAATCGTGTTACAACTTACAAGTCAGCCTTTCCACGACTCCCGAGTTGTTACGTCCCGTCTCACAGCTTGTGACGCCATTTCTCGATGAGTTACGATCAATGTCAGGCTCTTCATCTTTCAATGTTCCGTCTCTCACTTGCTGACTTCTTCCACAGTCAGTAGTGATGCTCGTTTACCTGAAGGAACTTGGGACAGGCTGTCCCAGGTCGCTGTTAAGGGTGCTGAGTATGACTCCCGCGAACGCCAGCCCCATCCGAAGTGTTTGGAAGGAACACGGGTGGACCTTCTAAATTACCTCCACGGATTATTAGACAGTAAAGAGCAGAATCGACTCATTTGGTTGCATGGGACGGCGGGTGTCGGGAAGTCTGCAGTCGCGTTCACTGTAGCTGAAAGGATGAGAAGTTTGAAAGTGATAGAGCAGACGAATATCGAGACGCGGCTTGCGGGCACGTTCTTTTTCTCGCGCAAGCACACCAACTGCTCCATGACTGGATTTTTTTTTGCGACGCTCGCATACCAGCTTGCCTGCAATTTCCCCAGCGTTCGGGAGGATTTGAACAGAGCCATCCGTCAGAATCCTGCTCTTCTGGACCCTAATAAATCTCTTCGCGACCAGATGGAGGGACTCTTTCTGAAACCTCTGCGGAGACTCCAAATCAGACTGCGCGGGTGTCCGCCTTTCGCGTTTGTTGTTGATGCTCTTGACGAATGCATGTCCGAAACCGAGGTTGCCGATCTCATCTCCCTCCTAGGCCGAGCTCTTCGGGAACCAGATCTTCCCGTGATCCACATCCTCCTCACGAGTCGCTCGAAAGATCATATCCACGACGCTATGCAGGGAGGAGGCGTACGCCCCCTGGTGTGGGAGATACCAGTCAAAATAACTGGAGAGGGTGTCGCTGCGATCATCTCGTTAGATGGTGCGGACGTTGACAGTGACATCTATATCGTCCTCGAACACTCCTTCAGAAAGCTGCGAGCTCGATGTTCATCTTTCCCGCAGCCAACGACGGATCAACTTGCTCGGCTGGCAAGTCGAGCAGGCAGACGTTTCATTGTGGCATCTACAGTGATGAAGTTTATAGATGACGGATACCATGATCCTCGCGATCGATTTCAGCTACTGCTCGAGTTCACGAGCGAGCTGCTACCAGGAACAGAGGTATATAAATTATATGATCGTATCCTCGCCACTTGCACCGACCCTGCGCGGGCATACCTACACTTGTCCGTTGTTGCCGCTCTTGCGGATCCTCTACCGATTCGACAGATCTCGGAACTTCTAGGTCCTGGTGAGGGCAGGGATGTCGAGACAGCGTTGGTACAACTACGATCTGTGATAGATATCCCTACAGACGACAGCCCAGTTAACATCTATCACTCGTCCGTTCGTGACTACGTTTCCGACCCTTCACACTGCAACCTCCCCGAAGTACAACATATCGGATACCCCCACTCCCTACTTGCTCAATCCTCTTTCCGCTTGATGATACGAGCCCTTCCAGCAAGCACGGCCCTGCTGGACGCTCTATCAGAATTGAAGAGGCGGAGCCAAGCCATGCCACCCCACGACTTACAGAGCTTAAAGCAGTCATTGTCCTTCATCGTGCAGCCGCCGGAGCCACTGAAAGCTCTTATGGGCCTGCTATGGCTTCAAGGAGTTCACAGTCCATATTTTCAATGCTGGCTGGAGACCCCAGATGGGCATTTTTGGCTGCAGAATGAGAGGGGGAGAGACTGGCTATCGACGCAGGAGGGGAAGGACTGGTTGCAGACTCAGGGAGGGAAGGACTGGCTTCAGACATGGAGGGGGAAATACTGGTTGCAGACGACGGACGGACAAGATTGGCTGCAGACGATGGGTGGGTCAGACTGGCTGCAGACCCAAAGTGGAGGAGATTGGCTGCGGACCCTGAGCGGCTTGGACTGGCTGCAGGATCTCATCATCAAGCGGACGGAGCTTCGCCGGCTGCGGGACGAGGGTTACCTCCCGCAGATCGTAGACATCGATTTGGATGAGGATGACTATGACAATGAAGATCATTTCGACGAGAATCACCAGGACATCGAGACTCACTTCGACGAGGATTACTGGGACGATGAGGTTCAATTCGACGACGGTCGTTGGGACAACGAGGATTGCTGGGGTGATAATGATCCCTTCGACGACGGTCGTTGGGACAATGGGGATTGCTGCGGCGATGAGAATTACTGGGACAACGAGGATCTTTGGGACAATGAGAATTGTTTCGACGAGAGTCGATGGAACGACGATGATTGTTTCGACGACGATCACTGGGATAACGAAGATTGCTTTGACGAGGATCCCGGCGACCACAATCATCATTTTAACGAGGATACCTCCCATGACTTGCTGCAAGACTTTGAGTATCGTTGGCCGGATGATGAAGAAGATCCTTGGCTGCAGACACCGATTGGACGACAATGGCTGGCCCAGGTCGGGAAAAAGTGGCTGGAGACCTGGGTCGGGAAAAAGTGGCTGCAGATCCGGGCTGGGCAACAGTGGTTGCAGATCCGGAATGGGCGAGAGTGGCTGCGAAGTCGAGGTGGGAGAGAGTGGCTACAAAGTCAAGGTGGGCGAGAGTGGCTACAGACCGAAGGCGGTCAGGACTGGCTGCTGATCGAAGATGGGTACGATTGGCTGCAGAGCCAGAATGGACGAGAGTGGCTGCAGACCCAGGCTGCACGCGACTGGCTGCGGACAGAGAGCAGGCGAGAATGGCTACAGACAGAGAGCGGGCGAGAGTGGCTGCAAACCATGGGAGGGCGAGAATGGCTGCAGACGCCCCATGGTCAAGCATGGCAGTCGACTCCTGCAGAAGATTTCTCGGGTACCTTGGAAGCAATCAATGAGCACACCGCCGTCTCAGAATTTCATTCACTACCAGCTTTTCAAGTCATCCAGCAATTCAAGAGCTTGCCAGATGTCTTGATATTTCCGGTGTTCCTAGCGTTAAGTCATCAAGATCGTTCCATCTCCGCATCACCGCAAGGTCGCTTTCCACTAGACATGGAAATCATCCATGCCATGACAGCCTTTGTCGACTTCGCAAAAGATGCACTGCACCAAAGTCGATCGGCTTCCGATGCTCTCAAGTATGCCTGCGACAACTGGGTCGTCCATCTCTCGCGAGCTCAGACTCCGTGGGAGGATACGCTTAACCATTTGTTCAAAGCTTTCTGGACTCGTTATCTTCTCCCCTGGCTCGAAATGCAGTGGTGTTTGAAGGGCCTGCGGTCCTGCCTCTTTGTGTTGTCCGAAGGGCAGAAATATGCATTAGCGTATGTACTTCCAATGATCCTCGTAACTCAGTACCTGACTCGCGCACATAGGAACGTCTTCTCCCAGTTCCAGGGTCATTAGTCTGGATTCAGCTCACAGTTCATGGGACAACACGCTCAATCACTTGTCTAAGTCTTTCCAGAGTCGCCATCTGCTCTGCTGGCTCGAAAAGCGGTGTTTTATTAAAGGGCCTCCAGTCTTGCCTTGCTATTTTATTCGAAGCGCAGAATTTTGCTTTACCTGAAGTATGGGAATCTCGCGAAGGTGAGTGTTTTTCCAATGATGTTCACAACTCAGAAACTGACCTGCGCACGTGAGTAGGAACATCATCAATAAGAAAGCAGTCGATAGTATCTATTTTTCTTGCACGGCAGATCCCACCCTTCCAGTTCCTTGCAGTTGGCTAAGGCGGGACTTCATTCCGTTTTTGAGGGTTTCGATAGTTTGTTGGGGAATAGCTTGACAGTGCGTTAATAAGTTGTGACTTGTTGTAAATTAAAGCGAGTACCGATGCGCAGTTCATCTCGTGCATGTAGTTTATTCATCTATGCACATGAATGTTGGATATCTAGTACCATTTGTGAAGTACATGGTTGCGTCCGCTGAGGCATTGATTCAGAGCACATTCCATGAAGATTGGTACGGATCTCGACCCGTCGGTGGTTGTCCTGTCACAATGGTGTGCTTCTGAAGTTCTAAACATATTGTAGGGCACACCTCTTGGGACTAGATTGGTTGACGCGGCTTGACTTGCGTTGTTTTTATTGTTTCATCACATAGGCTAGATCCACACTCGCGGTATTGGAAGCGATAAAGTACCAACCAAGCGAACGCTTTTGTTTGTACGACTACAATTTAACTACTGCTCCGCGTTTGTGCATTGTCCATCAAGATCTTGTTCAATCCATCACGGCGCAGACAATTCTCAAACTTGAAGCTCTTCGCAATTTCATCCAGTTCTGCCTCGCTCTTTCCACGGAAATGTTCTGCCCATTCCTTGACAAGATACTCGGTTACTAGTATACTGCGGGACAAGCGACCAACGCGATCGGAGAGTTTCCAGACTGGGAACGGATATAGGTTCTGGTTCTCCTGCGGTATCTCTTCTGTGATATGATTGATAAGAGGTTGATATATGTGCTGGACTTGAGCGGTATCAGCACCCCAAGCGTCCACAGCGAGACGATGTTTCTTCGCCAGGAAGTCCTTCAGTAGACCATGTACGAAGTTTCCTGTGAAACGTAAACCATGCCCTGGAATCCGATATCCTTGTACAACCAGATCGACCAGCTCAGACGATCCTGGTGTTGAGTCAGCCAGGAGTAAGAGACGGTATTCAGTGCCGATGTACCTGATTGTAGATGGCCAACTGGTCTTTGAGAACCTTGTACCGTCTTTCATTGATGGCGTCTGTAGCAAGGCCATCATATTGCCTCCTAGCATAGACTGGGCCCCATTCACCGTTCCAGACACAAAGGCCGTGCTGGTCCATCCATTCCCTCTTCCTCTCGTAGCTTTTCTTCATTCTCTGTCGTTGTTCGTCAGAGCTGACATAGTCCTCTGGACTAGCAGGGAAGCCGTATACGCTGTAGTCTGTAGTCTCTATAAGATGGAATCATGGAAACAGTGACTTAGAGTATACCGTGGATTGAGTATGCGGTGTTCTGCCACTTCTTGTGCATGTCACCGAAATGTGAGAAGTCACTTGCAAATGTGTTTCCGTCGAAAAAAATGATATGCTCTGTGTCGACCGAGCGGATGGCGTCGTGGACTTGGTCGTAGAACTTGATTACAGCGGTATGCGTGGGGTCAGTGGGTTCGTTAAGTGGGTTGTAGCCAGCAATCCACTTGTTGTTAGCATAGTGCTTAGCAAGTTCTTTCCAGAGCCAGATTGTGCGGTCTTGGAAGTCTTTGTGTAACCAGAAATTTGCGATGTGCGTGCCAGCATCACAGTGCCAAGCGGTGTTTTGACCGCCTGCAGCAGCGTGCAGATCGAGAATGGTGTAAATGCCTTGCTGGGCACAGAGGTCAATCACACGGTCAAGGTGCTTGAAACCCTCCTCTTTCAAGGTACGGGGATTCAAATCATCTGATCGACTCCATAAGTTCGACGAATCACGAAAAATCGGGGCACGTGCGTACCTTCGAAGTGCCTGTAGTTGAAGGGTAGCCGAATGCAATTGAGTCCAAGACTCTTGAAGAACTTGGCGTCTTCCTCCTGGAAGAAGTACTCCAGGAACTTGGCTTGCCCATCAGAAGCAGGAACAATACTGTAGACATTAATCATATCAACTCACCTTATCGAAGAAAAACCCTGATTTGATAGGTCCTACGACCTCAGCGAGAGCAGTACGGATCTGGAATTCGCAGCCTGGGTATCCAGAAATGAAGTTTTCCATGCTATCAGAGGGAGAAAGATCAAGATACGTAAATGTGTTCGGAAAGCATAACAACCTACTTCATCCATCCTCCGAGACCTGCTCCCCTGAGGACGACCTCTTTGCCATCTCCATTGACGACCTTTGTTCCAGAAACTTTCAGATAAGAAGACATAGCAAAGGAGATGTGCAGCACTGCATGATCTTCCTTAAGTAGTACTAACTTTAAGTAGTGGAACCAATGCTGAATGTTGCGTTAGCGGACCGCTAGAAGAGTCCACGAGATAGCAGTCCGACTATCCATGCTCCGAGGTTTATCCATGTTCCATCAATAGCAGGCTTAGGGTCCGAACCTCTTACAGCTCACATGCGTAAGTGGACTCGTGACTGGGGATTCGTGGAGAAGCAGCGGTTCCAGAATATTTCGGGATATCCGACTCGCTAACAGCTGCCGCCGGGCCCGGCGCCTGCAGATACATGTTGAGGGCGCAGCATTAGCGGGATAATAGTGATTAACAACTTTGTGTCGGATTAAGCCCTGTTGTTCTTATTGTCAGCCTCGCACACGGAAGACAATCGAAAAATGTAAACCTTTATTTCTTGAGGATAGAGATTCAGCGCTGAATGACACGCCGGGACTACGTAAGTTGCCCAAGCCATCAATAACAGCTTGGTTGGGAAAACGGCCGTCGGACTCCGTCGGACAACTACTAACATACAGTAGATTAGTATGTTCTTACGTTACACTGCTGGTACCTACTAGTTTTCGCGCAGCTGAATGGTGGCGGAGTGGTGACAGCGCACCGCACACTCCTCGACTTTTGCTTGATTTCGCATCGCAATGGTACTTCAATAAATCAAGGGCCATGATGCAGGCCCATCAATATTCATCACCGTCATGCCGATTTTGGCGATGCCAAGCGCTGAAGGTGGTATATCAACGCTAGGTCGTTATCATGATACACCCCCAACATCCCCCACTTCCTCACACCCATCCCTCGAATATGACCGTTGTCTCAAATGATTCCAGTTGGTGGCCAACAATCGATTCGAATGTGTTTCAAAGTTATTGGTCGGGTTCGTCGTATCAGTTGATGATGTGTCGATCTAACATTGACTTGTGGTTTGCAGTTGCCGCCGGCGTCGTGGTGGTATGCGATTGGGGTGAGCAAGATAGTGTTCGAAAACCGCTCATATTCTCATGATATTTCCAGTCCTAACACTCGGACAAGAGGTACGTCGGTGCTATTGCCGGAGCAGCCAACTTGCTAAGAATGGCGTTATAGATTGAACTGATCTGGGTGAGTGACAGAGTCTCATATCAGAAGAAAAGCTACAGAATACAATAAAATTTTGGCAGAGGAAACGCTGGTCTCTCATGACTATGCTGTATCTCGTTGTTCGTACCTCATGTTATACTATGGTGTAGTTGGCAAGTTGTGCTGACTGCAAAATGTTCTAGATACGCTATATTGGAATACCATATTCTTTGTATGTTTTTGAGGCCAACAAGTTGGTGCTGTACTAATACCCCATCTCTCGTTATCAGTACCAGCGTTCTGCGTATGTCTCATATGCGTTGTGTTCGATTCTTCTGACTGGCGGTACACAGCATATATGACAATGATCTCGCTGACAGATGAAGTGAGTATTTTGCAACTATCTCATTCCCATGCAATGGGTATATTCATTTGTAGGGGTAAGTGATATTCTGACCATTGAACTTTGCTCGATATGATGACCACACAGGTGTGAGTCGGAGTGTTTGATCCTAGTATGAGGTGATCACTAATTGGATATTTAGGCAATATTTTGGGCTACACAACAAATGGGACAAATGTGGTCATACCTGCCATGCTGGGCGGTGAGTTGCGATACCTCAGTGATATTGACTCGACTGAAATATGATGCAAGTCATCATAATTTCTCGGTTGCATGCCATGTATCACGGATCTAGGATGATACTTATCTTCCTTGTTATTATCTTCTTGGTTGTAAACATCGCCTGCGCAGTAATCATGGCAATAGTACTCAGGCATTCTGTAGGGGGTAAGCTTTACTTGTTGATTTGAAGAACACAACTCATTGGACGAACACCAGAGGAGCTGATACTCTCTGGAATGTATATGTGCAATATTGAATATGAGGGGGATGTCCAGCTCCTAGTTTCAATGCTTTGGATGCTCAACACTGTTTGGGAGGTCCTCGTACTGTGTCTTTCAGTCTGGGTTGCTTCAAAACACTTCTGTGACCTGCGACGACTCGGCCCATCGACAAGATCGACCATCGGGGACTGTTTCAGAGTGCTGATAAAATCTCACGTACTTTATTTTGCAAGGTGAGCTTGTAATGTGAATGTCCTCTTTTTCTGCTCAAGTTCCGCACGTCCTAGCTTTGTTTGTGTCTCTTGCATTCAGCTTGGTCTTCTCTTTTCCGACATCTTGGTGCGCCGACCTGTCGCTGACATCTGCTCGTAACACTACTCATCATTTTTGTAGAATTCAAATTCTATGGGAGCTCAGATACTCTATGGAGCTATTCAAATTTTAGTTAGCGTACAGATGTTTGTGCTGGGACCACGACTCATCCTCAGCGTTCGAGAATATCACGCCAAAATCCTGGCCGATTCCGACGCAGAAACTAGCATAAATTTGATTGTCTTCCAGGAGCATGTACATGTACCGACTAGCAGTATTGTGTAGAGATGTTTACCGAGTGTTCTGTATGGGGGACATATTTGATTGAGGATCGGTCGTGGTGTTTATTTAAGTTGTGCTGTTTCACAGTATATTCAAGACGAGATTTAATTAGACCCCCATTTCTTGTTGTGTCACTACTGTAAGTCAGAGAACTGCCTGCTCACACTTGCACCGATGAAATTATCCGGAATGTCTAGCAACCGACCCAGTCCTTGATACCCAGACAACTGATTCTACATGTTTGTGGAGTTCCGCTGGCTGGGCACAAAGATGGCTGATAGTTCATTAATCTCAGACGCGTTTTCATCCATCTGGGTCACGGAGAAGAAAAAGGAATGAATCGCGCAGACTCGTTGTTCGACTCTCCAGATACTCACCACAGCATGGGACCCAGGTCCCAGGAGGTCGCCGCATCGTGTCTCGCGGTCTGGATTTCTGTAAAACACTTTCGTGAATTGCGATAGCATTCTTCAGGAGGAATTACTGGGGACTGCTTCGTGGTACTCATGTCATTTACTTTGCGAGGTAAGCTGATAATGTGACGGTGTCCTGTTTTTCTATTGATGTTATTTGAATCGCTAGCTTTATTATTGTTTCTTGCCCAGCGATCTCGACGCCAGTATGCCGAATTCTTCTTACTACCTCTATATGCTACCACAGTTCATCGTCTCATATTCCCCAAACGTACTACGTCAACATACGGCGTATGCAAGTACAAATTTTAGATTCCGACGCTGTTTGCAAGTTACAGACTCCACACTTGCATGTAAACTTGCCGTTGCAAATACGCTCTAATCCCAATCCCGAACAGACGTTAGTAAGTATGTTGAGACTTCAAATCGACAAAGTGTGTCTATTATTAGACTCAGACTTAAGATAAAGTAGCTGATATGATTTCACCTGGCCAGAAGGAAACCTTGGCACATCAAGTCTGCGCTTCTTCCGTGGTTGACCGGTACCTCCGGTCACTCGTTTCAATTCCTATCGGCTTTTTATTACTCCACACCCATAATACCTATGGTGCAGGAAGGGGTCACTAGTCACTAAGTTTCTGTTGCGTTTCTAGTCTGCATACGAGACTCGGCCTCGGGTGCGTTGCTCAATGCTCATACTAATACTTTTTCATCCCATTCGCCCATCACCTCACTCGCAATCTCACCCTACCCAACACTTCGTATCCTAATGCCTATATCAATTCCTCCTCTGCAATCCCGACCAGCCCCAATGCCTGCAGTTCGGCGTGTTCCCATATATACCAACACCAACACCATTTGCACCTCTGTTCAAATAGTACTCCGATACTCGGGACCTGCTCCGTAAGCATAACCATCTGTACAAATACGAGTTCAGTCGGACCGCCTGCGCTCGCACGTTTCTCACTATTCGTCCTCATTATCCCAATTCGAATGTGAGTGATGGCCCCTGGCAGTACTGGATCCGCTTGGGAACCTGATCAACGAGCCACGGTCCTGCTAGAGGTATTCTGTGCGTAGGAGCAGCTAGGATGCACAAGGGTGCTGAAAGGGTCGACAGGCGCCACTTCAGTGGTTGAGTACTTTTGGAAACAGCCATCTTTCAGCGATGGCATCAGGAACGAACAGACTTCCACGATTCGGGACGATCTTGACAAGGCTGGTGAGATTGAGTACGTGAACATCAGCGTTAGGGAGAGTTCTCTACTCATAGTTCGCCAAAAGCTTTTGTATGACCTACTTCGCAACTTACATAAATAAGTACCACGACAAAAATCTGGAATAAATAAAATAAATTCTCCCGCTCCCTGTGCCCTTCGCAAATCAATCATATCGAGCATCCCCTGTGCTACACACTACTACTGGTTGACACATGGACGTGCTCCTGAAAAGCAATTGAAGCCATAGCGGTTGCTGTATCAGAGTTGGCCACGAGCTCAGCGTGATATTCTCGAACACCGAGGATCAGGCGTGGTCCTAGCACAAACAGCTCCACGAACTTGAATATCTGACTGAGACCAAGATAAATCTGACTGTCCAGGGAGTATATGTCCTATAAAAATGACGAATCATGGTTACATGTAGAGGTCGGTGACAGATCGGCGTACCACTGAGAGTGTTGGAGAGAATTCACCGATCTCGAAGCAAGAGATAGCCAGAAAACTGGCACGCGCAAAACTTCAGCAGGACAAGAAAAATACATTCACATTATGAGCTCACCTTGCAAAATAACTAACGTGAGTTTGCATTAGCACCACAAAACAGTCTCCGATAATACCACTTGTTGAGTGTTGTCGCAGTTCACGGAAGTGTTTTACAGCAATCCACACCGCGAGACACAGTGCAAGGACCTCCCATACAGTGCCAAGTATCCAAGTCATGACAGTCAAAATTTGGACTTCTCCCACATAGGAAATCGTGCACTGATAGGTGCCGGAGAGAATGTATTCCTCTGGTATTTGTCAATGAGCCTGATGCACTCAAATATTTCATACATAATTAAAGCTTACCCCCTGAAATCTGCATCGTAAGCATTGTGGCCATCACTGCGTTGGCGATTCTGATGGCCAGAAAGATGACAACGAGAAATATCAGCACCTTTCTGGATCGCTGATACATGGCATGCAACCGAGTGATCATGATGACTTGTATGATGTTTCAGCCAAGTCAATGTCACGGAGGCGTATAGCTCACCGCCCAGTATTACGTCTACAACGTCACCCGTCCAATCATATACGTCATATATGACAAGGCCTGACAAATCCAGCAACAATAGTTATCAACTTCGGAAGATCACAGGCTCGAAACAAACTCACAACTGGGAGTCGTTATGTTGAATCAACAAGTTGTTCGAGAATCTCACTCACCCCTGCATGGTAATTCAGTTGTTTGGACAAGAATGGAAAGCATCGGTGTAAAATACTCACTGCATCTGTCATCGAAATAGTTGGAACATTGTCTGTATGCCGCCCGTCACAAGAATGGAACATAGTCTATGCGAGGAGACATACCTAACATCATCAGCCTATTGTGAGAGATGGTAATGAGCGCAACATCAATGGCTTAAACCTCCAAACGTACACAGCATATCCTATTCCAGCATAGCGCACCTAGGATAGTCAGCAAAACTTTGACTCGCTAAGCATAAATATTGAAAGACAAGGTACATACACTGAGATAGAGAAAGGTCATCAAGGACCAGCGTTGTCTCTGCCACGAGCAAGTTGTATTTTCACATCGTTCTTTTGATGTGGAAGTCCGCTCACCCAGATCAGTTCAACCTATAACACAATTCTAAGCGAGTTGGCTGCCCCAGTAATGGATCGACGTACCTCTTTTCCAAACGTAAGCACTGAGAATACCATAAGGATATCAGTGGCCTTTTCATACTTAGTCTTGCTCACCCCAATCGTACATTACCCCGACAGAGGCAGCAACTGCAAAAAATGCACCCAAGGTTAATTGTATCGTCAACGTCGTCATGTAGCTGACTCCCCACGAACCTGTAAAATAGCTGAAAATAAAGTTCGCATTGATGACTGGCCACCAAATTGGACCATTCGAGACTACAGTCATACTGTTAGAGGATGGGAGTAAGCGAGCGGGGGAACTTGGTGAACGTATAACGGTCGCATTCGTGCTTGATATACCATAATCCAGCGCTTACATTGCCAAAGTGAGGTTTGAGGAATAAATAATTCAGCATGAATTCCATTAGAAAGACAATGTGCATCCAGGGATACCGATGGGATCAACGTACAAGTCATTGGTGAGATCCCAAGCAGCGACCCGCGCGGAATGTCGGAACACCGCAAAAGATAACCTGCCAGTGCGATCATCGAAGTATTCTTTTGGTAATTGGTATTCTTGGTACAGTCGAGTGAGGGGTTCGACCTCGGCTCATCAATGACATTAAAATGGCGCCCAAGTTGACTGGTAACCTCGTGACAGACATTGTCAATTACGACGCGAACGCGGTCCACAACCTTTCTTCTAATTCATATACACGCTGATCAGTACAAATGCGACCAAAGTACATACATGCGTCGTATCCCAATTCCCTGTCATAAAACACGATCAACGTGTGTAGCGACGAGGGCAGTCATGCAAGGAAAGTGGGAAGTTGTACAAAGAACTTGAAGAAGGGGGGAAAGGCACGGTCATCCAAAAGAGGAAGGGGATTGTTGTACAACGAAAGAACGATCAAGTGAGGTGAACAGGAACGGTGGCAGTAGGAACGAAAGCGATGACTGCCGATGATCGGGCACGCTTTGAATGCGAAGTTGTTATGGCTCCAAGTTGGTGGTTCATATGTAAGCAATGGCATAATCGGATGGATGCAATGGTGAATAGATAGATGAAGGTCGTTGACAAGCTTGAGAACGAACAGCCGGTTGGGAAAGGGAGAATCAGACAGAAATTTGCCATTCATCAAATGGACATTTTCTTCCATCCATAAAAATACTCCGTCCCAAAGAGATGCAGTGATCGATATATTGATGATATCGAGAAACCGTAAAATAGGGAATGTGAACTACGCGTTTCATGGGATGAGCGAGAGTGACAGTAACCTGCTCAAGAGGAGAACGAATGAGAGTGTGGGCGTCCTAAGAAATAAAGAATGAAATATAATATACAAGGCGAGGGACATTCAAGTTATACCTCTGACGATTGGACAACGAAAAAGACCGGTCAGCTGGAGCGAAGACAGTATGCATGGATGAGGGATGAGATAGGCGGAAGAAATAGGAGGAAGTTCAAAGTGTGGTGTGGAGGCGAACAAGATGAACAGAAAAAAAAACTCGGAAACAAAGTACTGAAACCAGGTCAGTTTTCAAAAAGACGACAGGAAGAGAAGATTTGGAAATGAGACGTAACCGTGCATGCTATGAGAAGGAGTTTATAGAGTAGAAGAAAGAAAGAACATGTTGAAAGACACAGTTTGATTATTGATGACTGAAATGAAGGAATAAGTGGAGCAGAGGGATAAACGGGAGTGCAGAACGTCGAGTTGGAATTGGAGAACTTCGAATATGGGGCCGTAATGCATGTATTGAGGGAGAACGTGAACGTCCTGTTGGACGACGCAAGTTAGCAGGGTGCTGGTGTAGATGGTGTAAGTGTGCTCGTGTGTTTACAGAAAGGCTTATCCAACCATTGGGCCCTGGGGCCCACCTGAGTTCAAATTATCAGCAGCACGCGCAATCTTGTCAAGAAGGTTAGGTGAAAAAGACTCGGACAGTGAGAACCGGTAGCACGTCCTTGCAAGGTCCGCGCATTTTCGGCTAATCACTTTACAAAAACAAGATTCGTTGCATGCTGCTGACTCCTGAGGTAGTCTCCCCTAGTATAGCCAGACGATAGCCGTTCCTTGTTAGACTGGTGACCAGCCCCTCTATGAGGCAAACCGTCGATAGAGGGAGTCTGCGTTTGACGTACGGAGTTGGAAATTGCTTACGTTTGACAGCGGCTCCTCGGCACATAAGGTTTGGAACGCATATGGAGTCTGGAATTCTGAACACTGCGGGAAGTCACCCAATATAACTCAGGCTAACTGAATTTCAGTGATGCTTAGGAGCAGAATTACATCTTACTATAGTTCTGGGCCTTCCTACAGACTATAGTGATCAGTATTCATCACTATGCCAATGTTAGCGCTACAAGCACTGGACGGCGGTACATCTGGCACCAACGCTAGATCGTCACTGTTATACACCCCCAACATCCCTCACTTCCTCACCCCCATCCCTCTATGACTGTAGTCTCAAACGATCCCAGTTTGTGGCCGTTAATCAATTCGGATATCTTTTACAGCTATTGGATAGGTTCGTCGTATCAGTTGGTCGGATATTTAACATTGACTTCCGGCTGCGCAGTTGCCGCCAGCGTTGTGGTGGTATACGATTGGGGTGAGCAGAACAGTGTTCGAAACCCGCTCATATTCTCATGATATTTCCAGTCCTAACACTCGGACAAGAGGTACGTCGGTGCTATTGCCGGAGCAGCCAACTTGCTAAGAATGGCGTTATAGATTGAACTGATCTGGGTGAGTGACAGAGTCTCGTATCAGAAGAAAAGCGACAGAATACAATAAAATTTTGGCAGAGGAAACGCTGGTCTCTCATGACTATGCTGTATCTCGTTGTTCGTACCTCATGTTATACTATAGGCAAGTTGTGCTGACTGCAAAATGTTCTAGATACGCTATATTGGAATACCATATTCTTTGTATGTTTCTGAGGCCAACAAGCTGGTGCTATATTAATAGCCCACCTCTTGTTATCAGTATCAGCGTTCTGCGTATGTCTCATATGCGCTGTGTTCGATTCTTCTGACCGGCGGTACACAGCATATATGACAATGATCTCGCTGACAGGTACAGTGAGTATTCCGCAACTATTCCATTCCCATCCAATAGATACATTCATTTGCAGGGGTAAGTGATATTCTGACCATTGAACTTTGCTCGATATGATGACCACACAGGTGTGAGTCGGGGTGTTTGATACTAGTACGAGGTGATCACTAACTGGGTGTTTCAGGCCTTATTATAAGCTACACAGCAAATGGGACAAACGTGGTCATACCTGCCGTGCTGAGCGGTGAGCTGCAATATCTCAGTGATATTAACTCGACTGAAATGCGATGCAAGTCGTCATGATTTCTCGGTTGCATGCCATGTATTACGGATCTAGGATGATACTTATCTTCCTTGTTATTATCTTCTTGATTGTAAACATCGCCTGCGCAGTAATCATGGCAATAGTACTCAAGCATTCTGTAGGAGGTAAGCTTTACTTGTTGACTTAAAGAACACAACTCATTGGACGAACATCAGAGGAGCTGATACTCTCTGGAATGTATATTTGCGATGTTGAATATGAGGGGGATGTCCAGCTCCTAGTTTCGATGCTTTGGATGCTCAACACTGTTTGGGAGGTCCTCGCATTGTGTCTTTCGGTCTGGATTGCTGCGAAACACTTGTGTGACCTGCGACAACTCAGCCCATCGACAGGATCGACCATCGGGGACTGTTTCAGAGTGCTGATAAAATCTCACGTACTTTATTTTGCAAGGTGAGCTTGTAATGTGAATGTGCTTATCTTTTTCCGCTCAAGTTCCGCATGTCCTAGCTTTGTTTGTGCCTCTTGCCTCCAGCTTGGTCTTCTCTCTCCAGAGCTCTTGGTGCGCCGACCTGTCGCTAACATCCGCTTGTAGCGACTACTCATCATTTTGGTAGGATTCAAATTCTATGGCAGCTCAGATATTTTATGGTGCTCTTCAAATTTTGGCTGGCGTGCACATGTTTGTATTGGGACCACGCCTCGTCCTTAGCGTTCGAGGATATCACGCTAAGCTCGTGGCCGACTCTGACGCAGAAACTAGCATGGGTCCAATTGTCTTCCGGGAGCGTGTATATGTACCGACTACCAGTATTGTGTATGAAGATGCTTTCTGAGTGTTCAGCATGGAGGACATTTGATTGAGGATCCGTTGTGGTATTTATTTATATTATGCTGTTTCAAAGTATATTTAAGACGAGACATTGTATCACCACTGGAAGTTAGAGAACTGCCTGCCCACACTTGCACCGATGAAATTACCCGGAATGTCAACCCAGCCCTTGATTCCCAGACACCCGATCCTACGTGTTTGCGGACTTCCGGTGTCTGAGCACAGATGATGAGGAAGTGACTGTGAAGCGTGAAGCCCAAATGGCTGATAGCTTAGTCTGAGATGCGTTTTCATCCATCTGGGCCACGGAGAAGAGAAATGAATGAAAAGCGGACTCGTGGTTCAACCCTCCAGATGGACAGAGGCGGACATGAGTCCATCCCATAGTATCTTTTTTATGTCTTTGTATCGGAGACAAACGACCGTCGTGCTCCGAATTCGCTTAGGTGCTCGTTTGAGAAAACAAATTTTCGTTAGACCACTGTGCACCGCCAGGAGGCGTCTGTTCATTTCAGAGGGATCAACTGGAAACCTGTATGCGGAACGAATCAATGATGAGGAGCGATTATGATCAATTGATGATTTTAGGTATCGTGTATAGATGGCAGGAAGATGTCTTGTCGCTGACGATGTGGATGGTGGAGTCGTCTGTCTTGGGTACCTGCCGGGGGTACATATATGACACGCTGGAAGTGGCGGGTGAAAATGACCGTTTGAAGGGAGTGCCAGAAGAGGGTCGCATAGAAAGGGTTGACAACGTTGATGATCGTGGTCAGTCGAGAGAAGAGTCGGACGCATGAATGCACTGAGGCAATCAGGTAGGAGGAACTCTGCAGGGAGCGGGAGAAATCGTTTTTATTTTCTCGTTGTCGGATTCCTTCGATGGTAGAGATGCACCCTCTCGCGTCCGGAATGCCACATTCCGCACTTCCGGTGCACAAGGGAGTACATGGTCCGCATGATGCACAGCTGCAATTGTCACACTGGCACGACGCACTTCTTTCTGGAAAGTCTAAAATGTTATGCCCGCATCGCGGGTAACCGCTATGATAGCTATATTATGTACAGATTATCTCGTGCTACGTAAAAATGGGTCGTTGACATCCTCCAGAGTCGGACCGAAAGTCGGACCGTTGGTTGATGACTATGACTCAGCACGATACACTCCAAGTTCTCCTTAATTAACGCGTTAACACCCGAACTTCTTCTCGTTGGTGAGAGTACTGGCTTGTAGAACACTCTCCTCTGAAGGGTTCCTATCTATTCCTATTTGTCGACAGGCACGCGATGAAGTTCGGAAGGAAGATCACGGTGCGTTATTTTTGCGTATGGCAAACTGGTTGAAGCGAACTAGACAATCTTGCTTTGACAGACTAACCTTTATGATGAGTGGAGACCCTTCTACATCGACTACAATTTGTTGAAGCGTGAACTCAAGGTGACTCCTTCTCCAAACTGCCCGACCCATCCTCATCCGCTCTATCCGCATAGTCTCGTACCACCTCTCACAGCTGGGACGACAAAGATGAACGTGATTTCACCGCCATGCTGAATAAGGAGCTCGATAAAGTTCATGATTTCCAGAAACAAAAGGTAAAAGCGTCAAAACTCAGTTCATTCCTCTACTTCAGCTGATACTGTTCAGACCGCCGAGTTATCTTGTCGTATACGGGATGCCGAAAAAGATGTTCAAAAACTCGTCGCTCAAGAATCTTCTTCTTCTGAGCCGTCTCCCACCCATTGCTCTGACCCAGAATCGCACCAAGCACGCCCTTCGGACTATGGCCCCGATGAGGGTTCCGACGACGACGACGATATTGACGATAACCAATCTGATGCATCACTCGAAGACCTCTTTCACGGCCTTCAAGAAGAAGTCGCCACCCTCGTAGCAGATGTTCACGACTTGGCGCTGTACACCAAGTTGAATATCACTGGTTTTCTCAAAATCCTGAAGGTACGTCCATTCACGCCTCCCGCCTTATGTCAACTCACTCTTCATCTCCATAGAAACATGATGTACGTTCCCTGCATTTCGTCATGTATCATCCTTCATTATCACCGTCAGAAAATTACAAACCTTCCGCTCAAACCTACGTTTATTCAAAACTATCTTGAGGAAAGACCCTTTTATAAATACAATTGGGACGCCTTGATTGTCAAGTTATCCAAGCTCTACAACCTGGTCCGCACCCGAGGTCATCCCGTACAGGGCGATTCAAGCGCAGGCGGGAACCAGAGTGCTTTTGTACGTCAGACGACAAAGTATTGGGTAATCATCATTTTTTCTTCTTCTCAAGTCTATGTTTGTTAACTAGACAATTATAGGTGCATCCAGATAACCTCGTACCACTGAAACTGGCCATTTTGCGGCATCTACCCGTCCTTGGTCAGTGATAGTGTGCTTTTCAGTACATTAGTCGATTTACCTCTCCTTACAGTGTTCAATGCTGAGAAGGAATTCGAGCAGAAGGATGCTGGTACGTTTATTGGTTTTGAAACAGCAGAAGATGCAATGTTAACGCTTGTTGTAGCCATTACTTCAATATACTTCGACAATGAAGACCTTGAACTTTACCTCGGTCGACTAGAGAAGACAGAGGGTGCCGAAGCTATCCGTCTCCGGTGGTACGGCGACACAGGACGTCAAAACCGTCAGTATGCCCGACTTGGTTTGTGAAGGTCACTCAACGTCGTCCCTCAGATTTTCGTAGAGCGCAAGACGCACAGAGAAGACTGGACAGGTGAAAAAGTCTGTCAAGGCGCGTTTCCCGATCAAAGAACACCTGGTGAACGCATTTCTGCGAGGAGAATACACTATGGACGCGGAGCTCCAGGCGCTAGCTGACAAAGGCAAGAAGACACAAGCCGAAGTCGATTCTATGATTCAGCTTGCAAGTGAGGTTCAGTATCGTATTCTTACGAAACAGCTCCACCCGGGTATGTAAGCATACCCATCGTCTGACTTCTTCAGCTCATAAATATACTAGTCATGAGGACGTTTTACAACCGAACTGCGTTCCAGCTCCCGGGAGATCCACGTGTACGGATATCGCTTGATACGGAACTCACCATGGTTCGTGAGGACAACTGGGACGGACAAACACGTACTGGCGATAACTGGCGGCGAACCGATATTGGCATCGACCATCCCTTTGACCAGGTGGCAGCGGATGATAAGGAACTTTTCAAGTGAGTCTCTATTGTTGAGCTGATTCTATCGCACGTTCACGCCCTTTGAAGGTATGGCGTTTTGGAAGTCAAGCTTCAGACTCAGTTCGGACAAGAGCCTCCCAAGTGGGTTACGGATCTCGTCCAGTCATATCTTGTCGAAGCTGTTCCCAAGTTCAGGTATGATCCTCACCTCACCCACAAGGTGGTTCCATCTCACTCACGGAGTGCCGCTAGCAAATTTATCCATGGCTGCGCTACCTTACTGCCGAATCGCGTAGATCTCGTGCCATTCTGGCTGCCCCAAAGTAAGCGGATGAACTTACCTCCAACGTGTCATACTTACCTGACATCATTCACAGTGGAAACCGACATCCTCAAACCCAATACGGGATATCTTACAGTTGAGCGCCCCATGAAGAACACCCCAGATCTTCAGTCCGGTCTCTTCTCGCCCATCTCGCCGGTTTCGCCGGTACCCTCCTATGTTGAGCCAGTCTCGGAGGGCGAAGACGATGAAGAGATGGACTTGGCGCCTGCTAGAGATGAGGACCGGCGCACGGGGCTGCCCCAGGAGGACGTTGCGGCTGCTATCGCATTTCGTGAGAAGTCTCTCAAGGAACGCGACCGTACATCTCAGTTCAACGGGAGTAGCAGCACTCCTGAAGAGGTATGTGATGAGCGCACGCCATTATTGAAGCTGCCGCGGCCGCCGAGTGTGTCGATCGACCCGCTTGCGCCGTCTTCTGCGTTTGATGAGAGTCTGCGGGAGCGTTTACAGGCGAATAAAAATGCGCCGCCACGTGCGCAGGATGGTGAGGTGCGGGAGGCTGTAGGCCTGGATGAGGAAAACCTGCGGGAGGAAGAGCGTTTACTGGTGAGAGACTGGAGTGCGCCGTCCGGCAAGCGGATTGCAGTGCCTGTCCGTATCGAGCCCAAAGTGTATTTTGCAAACGAGCGTACCTTTTTGGTATTTTTTTTTCCGTTAGATGGTTGAGTCTGTCTACTGATGTTTATTTTACCAGAAATGGCTGAGCTTTGCGGTGCTCATCGGCTCTATCGCTACGACGCTACTGAACTTCGTACCTGCAGACGATCCGCGGGGCCTGATCAGTGCTGCGCTATTCACTCTAGCTGCGCTGTTCGCTATTGCCTACTCAGCTATCATCTTCGTGTACCGAGCGCTTCGTCTGCGTGCGCGATCGGCGGAAGGGCTTTATTATGACAAGTATGGGCCGACTATTCTTTGCTTTGTGCTGTTGGCTGCGCTGGGGACCAACATTGGGTTGAGGGTGGCAGATATGTGGTGATGACATGGGGATACGTTGTATTTTCGAGCGTTGGACACTGATATATAGCCGATTTGAGGGAATTGATTCCCTCTTTAAGGACTGCGTATGGGAGATTAGGCAACTCATTTTTGTTATTTTGGTGCTGACTGACGTGAATTCGACCGAGTGACGGTAATTCTATGTGAATCCATGTCGCTCCCGACTGCGGCCTGAGACATTTGATGGAGGCATATGGTAAGCTTGACATGTGACAGCTCGTCCAATGAGGTATTTACGCGATTCGATGATGGGGAGATTGCTTGATCCGGACTGTGCTAAGCTCAACAAGACCATACACAAGAAATCTATATAAGCAGCCATTAACCTCCAGATTGAAACCATCATCATCTTATTACAACATGTTCACCGTAAGTCTTGCTTCATCCATCACATTATTTCGTTATCTTATCTCGATCAGGTCACCGAAGTCCCTGTCTCTAACAACAACTGTGGCTCGTCGACCTGCTCGTGCGGCGCATCGTAAGTCTCACTCTTCGTACGGCGCCTAGGTCTTATTGACGACGTTATGTACAGGTGCCAATGCAAGCCCGGAGAGTGCAAGTGTTGATTGAACGCTGAATCTCGGGCAATTGGAACTGCTTGTATTATTTCAGTCTTGCCCAGTGTTTAATCGGGGTCGGCATATGATTATATGATTATAGGATTGTTGTATGCATTATCATCGAGCAGAGGCGCATAATATGAATACTTATTGAATTGTTTTTGGTGTGGAGATCAGCGCTAGCGCTCAGTGAGGAGCTTGTGGTGAAGTGGAGTGTGCATTTGAATTTTGGGCGGATCTAGTTTGTTTGTTGTTGTTGGTATTCAGGCACCCGTGTCCTCTTCAGCGGACCTTGTGCACTCCAAGTCTCCAACCCTGCATGCTATATACTTCGCCGAATTGCCTCATCCTGCCTGCAAATTACATCCCCACGCAATAAGAGATAGATCCGAGCTAAGTTTCCCTCGAATTGGATTGGCATCTAAGCAGTACTGGCACGCCGCCCCAACTTCTCGCCCATAATATATCTCGAGGATAAGTGTTACACTGCCATTCCTGTTTTCATGTTTATTGGTGTAAGCAAATGACGTGTTATCAATTAGCTGCACACCGAGTGGGGCCTTGAAACGCCTGGTGGATGAAGAACACCGAGAGCATCCATCGATTTCAATAACAGGAAGTTGATGGTGTTCTCGCAGGAAGCGCTAGCGAGGAGAGCAAAGTCAGAGTCAAAGTCATAGTGGGGCACCTTCCATAGGTGCACGATTTCTCGCTGTTATATGATGAGTCATCCTTTGTGTTTTAGGTACAACGCTGCTCAAGCATTCGACCATGCTCTTGCACGAGTACATATTTGACGAGAGTCAACCAATCTCGCACCGAGGTCTACCAACTAATCCCACCTGACCACCAACCAACCATAATTACTATTCCTCTCTATCCACAACCCTACACAACAGACGGTGCAAGTTATTTAGTCCCCATCTTCCATCCTAACAGCATACAAGATACATCAACATTATTTTCACGATGGATTTAGCGTAGCGTGCGTTTACTGAGTGGCACTGCCTTACTGCGACATTGTTCTTACTCCTGTGATATTGCAGCTCAGGTTGACCGTTTGTGACTTCTTTTTCTGACTGTTCTAATGGCATTACCAACAGTTGAAACACAGCTGACTGGGGCTCATCAAGAACATGATAATCAATCTTTCATGGCATAATTTGAAGGTTTCCTGTGGTTGTAAGGACGGCGCCCGCAAGAGGCACGGGTCTTCGTCTCTCTCATTTCTGTTTGTATTTGATATGAATGGATTGTGAATCAGGCTATGACAATCGATGCATCCACATCTTATCGATCATCAACCGCACGTTGCAAATTGATTATGATGTGTCTTGTATCGGATTTCGCAATTACAATTTATTGGTATCCTTATCATGATGGTACGATAGGCTGATGACCGAGATGGTCGGAGACGGTGTGCATATAGGACGCGGATTATTTGTTGAATGGGTTACACAGGTGAGTGATCTGTCCACTTCTCCCTTGTTCTATATATCCAACGCTTCTTCATGTCGATATAAGCTCACTGTATCTTTACTGTATATCTCAGAGATCCTCAACTAGGCTATCTCTGGCCGTGAAAACTAATGCCCCGTCAGCACCGCACGATGGAGAATGGCGGTCCTGCACAGACTGCACTTGACATCATTGTTGGCAACCTTATGATATGATGGCCCGATAACCGAAGCAGAAAGCGATAAGGTGTTCGTGAAGCGACAGATGGCCCGAGGACGAGCAGAGATAGTAGACATTGAGATATGTGCTCGCACACAGGTAGAACGTGAGTTATCTGTTTGCTTCGTGTGGATGTCCCCTGTTTTCGATGGTTTATTTTTGGTCTGGCCTTGGCATGCTGACACAATTTGCCTTCTATCTTTTAGTACGGTATTCAAGTTTCCACCCGTGCATTTAATATTTCACGACCAACATCATTACGTCGAGCACCTCGATTGATTGTATTGGTCAATCAAGAGAGTAATGGACATCATCCCCCGATCTCATTTTGGTGATCTAAGCACTGCAAGATGGTGGTATATATACCATCGCCATACGTCCACCAAGTTCGCCTCTCACCCACACTATTTTCTAACAATATGACCATAGTCTCAAACGACCCCGTTTGGTGGCCGTTCATCAATGCATATAGTTTTTACAGCTATTGTACAGGTTCGTGGAGGGTTGTCGGATGTTGAAGTTGAAGTCTCGATCTTACCTTGACTGCGGTTTCGCAGTTGCCGCCTTCGTTGGATTGACGTATGATTGGGGTGAGCACCATAGTATTAAAGGACTGCTGATATCTTACAAGTATCTTCAGCACTTACATTCGGACAAGAAGTATGTTAACGCCGTGACCGGAGCAGTGATGTCGCTAAGAATTGTTTTATAGGTCGAACTGATCTGGGTGAGCAGAGTCTCATGTCAGAGGAACGCACATGAAAATACACTTAATTTCAGAGGCACCACTGGTCCCTAATGACAGTTCTGTATCTCAGCGTACGTAGCTTGTCTGTCGCAGTTGCCATGTTGTGCTGACTTGAAAGTATCCTAGGTGCGCTACCTTGGAATCTTAAATGTTACGTATATTCGGAAGGCTAAACAATCGGTGTTGTGCTGATCGTCTATCTCTCATTATCAGCCTGAGCATGCTGAGTATGTCTCATTAGTACATTCGCTGTCTTCGCTTCTTCTGACCAATGGAATACAGCCAGTGTTACGACCATCTCGCTGCCAGATACAGTGAGTCTTCTGCACAAATGCCTACTATTCCCCTCCAATTAACTGTGGTTCCCTGTAGGGGTGAGTATGATTCTTTACTAACTTCTTGGTTCCCTAATGGCTGCCACACTATACTTCCACAGATGTGAGTCTGTTTGGAGTGTGTTCCACCCAGGGCTTGTCACTGACCGAATTGTTAGGCTTATTATAAATGCTGTATTGGGTTGGACAAGTGTTGGTGTATTTGCAATGCTGTGGGGTGAGCTTGGCACTTGCAAGAACTCAGTGGTATTGACTTGACTGAAACATGCTGCAAGTCATCATCATCACTCGGTTATATGCCATGTATCAACCATCCAGAAAGATCCTCATATTTCTCATTGTCACCTTCCTGTCTGTCAACATTTTCGGCGGAGTGGTTGCTGTAATGATAACGATGCATACTTCAGGAGGTACGCTTAATTGTTGATGACGAAAAATGCGCATCTCATTGATGAATACCAGAGGAATTCATTCTCTCCGGCACCTATCAGTGCTTGTTTAACTATACGGAAGATACGCTACTTCTGATTTCCATTACAAGTTGGATACTTGCCTTTGTGTGGGAGGTCATCGCACTGTGTCACACAGTATGGATGGCGGTAAAACACTTCCGTGAACTGCGGCAACATTCGACAGGAAGGATTGTCGGGGACTGTTTCACGATGTTGATTAAAACTCACATGCTTTACTTTGCGAGGTGAGCTCATATTGTGATTATTGTTCCTTTTTTCCACTGAAGGGTCGGACATGGTAGCATGGTTGCTATTTCTTGCTTCGACATCATTATTAATTTCACTCCCGCTTCACCGGTATGTCAATCTTTCACTTACCTCTCCATGCGACCACGATTCATCATTTTTATAGACGCTTTCCCTGGTTGATTCTGGCCTTTCTCAGGTTTTGGAAGTCGTGCAGAACTTTGTGCTAGGGCCCCGCCTGATCCTTAGCATTCGAGAATATCACGCTAAGCTCATGACCGATTCCGACGCAGCAACCGGCATAACCACAATCGCTTTCGAAGAGCGTGTGCATATATCGACTGGTAGTAGTGTGTAATGTTCGATTAGTGCTCTGCAAGAAGCAGGGGAATTTACTTTATTTATTTCCACTTTTGTGATAGTATGCAAGTTTCTTCTATGGTATTGGAATCGGCTTGTTGTTTGGTATACAGGCCACTCCTTCAAGATCTTTACGATGGTCATCGGCCTTTCAACTCGCAAGTCGTACACACGCCTTCTCAAGATGCGTGAAGTCGCAGTGACGCCTGTGTGAGCAGCTTCGTCCTGAGTTTGTTGTTTCAGGACCACCTAGTATTTGCTCTCCTCGCCTCCTCACTAATAACTCCCAGCAGATGGTATCCCATGGATCGCATGTGCACGACAGCTCTCAACTCGTATCTGGTGTAACATCAACATTGAATCGCATGCAGCACCAACAACCAAAGCGTAACACAAACAACTGATCCTGCCAGTACACCCCCCGGACATCCATCTCCATAATCTACATCGCCATCGATCTCGCCAACTCGCCTTCACACGCACACCATTCTTGCCATCCTCAGCGCTCCTGCCATGGTCACAAATTGAGTTTGGTGGATCTTTGTTTGTCGTTGTTGGTATTCAGGTACCCTGTGTATGACCTTGCGTGCCTTGCTTATACTTATATAGATTATACACTTCGCCGAGTTCTCTGCCCTGGTAGTGCTAGGTACGCCACCCTAGCTTCCTGCCCACACTTGTGCCAAGTCAATGAACAATCTCGGAGGTCCTGTTATGCTCGGGGAGACTGCCGGTGCTCATCG